TCAGCAGTGAAGTATTTAGTACAATTGCTGGCAACGTGTGTTACGTAGGCATCTCCTAAAATAGCAAGAGCATTTTAGATTAACAATAGCAGCTAATACAGCTAGAAGATTAAAGCAGGCATATGGAGTGACTACTGGACTTGAGCCACATGAAATTTTTCTACTTCTTCACACAACATTTGGAACACAGTAAGTACAGCAAATATTACATCGTAAAAATGATGCATTTATCTATATTCAGCCTTAAACTTAACTAAGTCTTGTAAGCCATTAACTAAAGCTAGAATACCATGCACACATGAAAATAAAGACTCACACTGTAGTTAACTCAGTTACATCTGTTGATGTACATCAGAGGAAACACAGCAAGCCAAATATTAAATATTTTCCTGCCATATGGCTAGGAAGCAATTTTATTAAGGTAAACTTATGTGAAGATTTAACAAATCTGTGTGAATGGGATTATTATTTACAGAGAAGGATAATAAAGAGAAGATATATTGACAGAGAGCACATACAAACTTCTAATAGGTATTTAACCATTTAAATTTAACTCAGCTACACATTTGGTTTATTCTGTGATTGCATATTGCCTTTCCCTGGCTTTCTTTTTTGCCAAACCTCCAAATTTTTTTTTTTGTTCCTTCATTTGTTCTGTTGTTTGTGGGGGTTTTGTTATGGTTCATTTGTTGGTGGGCTTTGGGTTTTTTTTGGGTTGTTTTTTTTCCTTTGTGGGGGAGAGAGGGAATGGGAAGGAAGAGTGGGATGGGGTAGTGGTAGGCTGGTGATGTTTGATTTTTGATTTTTTATTTTTATTTTTTTTTTTACACCCATCCAAAACAACTTTGCTTTTAAAAATGGAATTCAAACTCAAAGTATGGATTAAGAGAACACACATCTTACATGTTAGTTTCATTTCTGTTGGATCCATCAGAGAAACCTGCAAATGTAAAGGAAAAAGGTGGTATTACTGACATCACGATCCTGCACTCTAATAAGGTATTTCAAAAGACTGTTGAGAAACTCAAGATACAAATGCCATTAAGGACTGTTGAAAAGCCCACAAAAATACTCCTCACATTTCAGATACGCTGTAACTTTCAAACTAACTGGCTTTTATTCTTTAATAGACTGCATGCCCATTATGAGATCTTATCACCCGGATTCCCTCAACATACAGTATTACTAATCCACAGGCCTCTCTACATTGACAATACTATTCTGACACAGCATCTATCACACCAAGCAACGTTTGACTGGAAGTAGAAATGGAACTAAACAGCATTCCTACACCTGGACTAAATTTGAAACCTGCAAGCCACATGCAGATTCATTCAGGTGCTTTATCAAGACTGCTCTCAAGTGACATGCTATTTCTAGGTATACCAACAAGAGAACAAAGAAAATTACCACACAAACACAGGCTGTCTAGTAAAGACAGAGTAAGCAAGAACACATAAGCAGTACAATAAAGATGAGATAATACAGCTACATTCTTCTCACATCAAGCAACCTTGAAAGCTCTAGAGCATTTTGTCTTGAAAAGACCATCTACAGTACACTGCACAGTGTTTTTTAATACATCAGATTAAAAGCCACCCTCAACAATTTCTTTTTTATATTTGGAAGTCTCAAAGTCAAGCTTTCTTCAACTGTTAAACCACTACCTTAAGTACCTCAAATGTTCTGTGTCAAACAAGTGCAGGAGCTTTGAAGCACTAGCCACCACAGAGACCAGTCAGTATTGTGTACTTGAATCATCTTTACATACTGTATTTAAAATTCAACTCTAATGCGCAGAACAAGACAATCCCATGTCAGATGCAAAAGGGAATGATACAAGCATTTAGCCCCATGTCAAGATCATCTTGTCAGTCCCACGTGGCTTCTACTGCCAGTTCAGGACCTCAGCAATGACCTCAGCAATGACCTCAGCAATGACCTCAGCAATGACCTCTAAAGCTATCTAGTGATTAAGATCCACCAGCTACATTTCCTTCCCAGCTTAGGCAGTTCCTCTGTAGCAACACAGCTCAATATAGCCTCACTGAAGTATGCAGGAGCTGAAGATGAGCATTCCTGGTGAAGACAGCATGGATACAAAATTAATTTAGATACACTGTATTCAGAGGGGACTCCAAACCTTTAATAAGCTACAGCACTCTATTTAACCACCATAACATGCCGGGCAACATATTCATGTAGAAGAGGAAAGCATGTTACTCTGAAGCAGCAGTTTGTGAAATTATGGAAGAAGAAAATAAATAAAATTGAGAAGTACTTTAGGGATCTCCAAGGCTATCTTAGTTAACACAAAAAACTTTACTCAAACAAAACCAGTATGGCTTTGTGGGGGTTTTTGTGGGGTGGTTTTGTTTGAGGGTTTTGTATTGTTTGTTTGTTTTTTCCCCCTCCTCAAATCCTGGTTGGGAAAACACGCAATAGGAAGCGCTTTCCCAGCATCTCATATTAACATTCAAAAAAATCTAAACAGAAATCTAAAAACCAATGAAACAAATAACCCCCCTCCAAAAAAAAAAAAAACCAACCCTAACACAGGCGTCCCCAAAATACTTCCACTAAAATCAGACAGCTTGATTCACACCAATGAAGCAGTAATCAAATCAAGGCATTCAAGTGCTTGTTGGAACAAGTGAAATACAAAAAGCATCCCCCCCTCCTCCAAACAACAACAACACCCCCTCCAAAAAAAAAAAAAAAACAAAACAAAAAAAACCACTGTCATGGTAATAGCATACCAGAACTTGATTCTTAGAAAGACACCTGGGGATTTTTTTTTTTTCCACACAAGCCTACAGGAATCATTCCAAACTCCTACGTGATTCACTAACAAATACATCTTTCTTTTCAAGAACAAGTGTAGATTAAACTTCAAAAATACTACATTTCACAAACCCAGAGAGCTGCAAGGCACTGTTCTTAAAATTACTGGTGTCTGGTTTGGGGTACGGGAGGGGTTGACAATGATCGTACCAAGATTCTAGACAGAAATCTAATTAAGTAAGCCAGAGTTTAGACCATATCACAACTGAAGTATCACTAACAGTAAGAAGCAGGATTATACACTTTACACAATGCAGAATACTTAAGAGTTTCTCAATATCATGCTTGAACTTGAACAGGAGTAGTTGTAACTGGGTTTGTAAAACTCATTCAGACAATCAGAAAAGAATCCCTTGTCACAGCACTGAGCTGTGATCATGTTACACCATCTGGTCATCTGGAACCTACCCAGGGTGTGACACAAATGGGAAATGCAGTATCTGGTAACCCAGAAAACTTTTCACCCCCCAAGGCAGAGAGGATAGGGAATAGAGAGGTGGTTTCTACCTGCCCTCAATATTGCAATGTCTTGGAATAAAGTTTAAAAAGTCAGTATCAATCAGAAACTGTCAAACATTCCTTCTCTGCATATTTCAAATACTACTACAAGTTGACACGTGTATGTCTTAACTTGGAAAATTTGGGAGTGGGAGGTGGTGTAGTCAGCATTTACTTAGAGGGCAATATGATTCCTTTTACTAAAAATTATATCCCAAAAAAAAAAAGCTGTAAATGTGCTTAAAGCTTTTACATTTGTCTAGTAATCCACTGATGCCACATAGATGGCTTTTATCTGGATAGACACAAAGACACATCAGTCTACATAAGTTCAGGGTATACTCCAGTCATGACATTGCAGGTTTACAGGTATATGCCTGATAAGGACATAGGACATATACTTGTTTTAATTCATGTGATCACCATGAAAGTCTATGCATTTCCTCCCTAGAGTTTTGACATTCACTCTCTCTACAGCTGTTTTAATAACGGTTTACATTTACCACTAAGATATGCTTATCATATGCAGATAACTACAGTTGAAAGAATGCCTTCCTCTAAAAACCTATTACACTTCTAGTGACCTTTAACATTGTAATTTTAATGATGGGTCTTGGAATCAAAGCAAGACCCTGGATCTTTCCTCCCATATTTAAAATACTGTGGCAATTTCATTACTATTCTATTAACTGCAAAATGATGGTGGGGGAATCCCTCCACTCACCCACATTCTATGGGAACTTTCAGTAATCTCAAATTTCCAGCTAAACTCCTCATATTGCCAAAAGTAATGTGAAAAGGCAAGTCAAACCACACAGTCTGTGGGTATTAAGTCTACGCTTCATTCTGAGTGTATCATACTCAGAAAATCCCAACTGCATTTCTGTTTTACTTAAAAAGCAAACAAACAAAAAAAAAAAAAAAAAAAAACAAAGAAAACCCAAAAACCAACACACACCACCAAAAAAAACCCAACACAAAAAAAAAAAAAACACCACAAAACATCGAAAAACAACAAAAAAAATAGTTTTAAGAAAATAGTCTTATTTGATCTTCTCAACACATATAACCACACAAAAATATACTCTCACCTGATAAAGTCCAGTGCTCAATGACTGTCCTGTCATGGTCTTTGCTCAAATACTCTGGTTACACGGAACATAATTTGATCTACTACCTCAAGATTCAACTCTACCTTTTACATACATGGATGACTGAAACTCTATTAATGCAATCACTGAAAAAGTTGAAACACATGGAAATGTTTCATCTGGCTCCCAAATTCCTACCCCATTTTGAACTAACACTTAGCATTTCCTTATTACTAAACAGCAGCACTATTTTTGTTAACATTCAGAACTGCATTCCTCTGTTTGCATTCACAAACCAACTTACTACGTGTAGCTGGAGCAGAACATTCTGCTACCCAAGAGGAAAACCTCAGGAACTGTCTTCTGTGGTTCTTATTCCTCTTCCCAAGATCAACTTGAGACAAACTTTAAAACCTGGACATCTCTGCAAGCAGATGAGTTTTTAAAAGAAAAAACCCCAAAACAAACAAAAAAGCCCCACAAACAATAACCAACAAACCACAA